AAGCATTCATGGGAGGCAGGGATTCAAAATTGTACAAATGGTGGGGCTGACCCCCCGGGCTAAGGGGTGGGACCAAAAAAAGTTTATTGCCTGGAAATGGTTGAGATCCCCACCATATAACCACATATACAATTGCTGAGTATAAAGAGAAGAATGCACATTTGCTTCCAGGATGGCCCTAGGGTCTGGCCCCACCCTTGGAAACATAGTCCTTGGGCCATAACTTTAAAACGGCTGAGATCCCCACTCAAAAACTATATATACAAATGCTGGGCAAAAGAGACGAATGCAGTCACAATATTAGAATAGACCCTGGGGTCTGACCGAACCCCTAGGGACCTAGTTTCTTAGTCACAGCTTGGAAACAGTTGAGATCCCCACCCTATAACCATATAGACAATTGCCGATTACAAAGAGATGAATGCACATATGCTTCCAGGATGGCCTTGTTTATGTACACATGTTTTACCATCTAAGAAACCAGTTAAGGTGTCTTAAGCCGCCATGAGATGTGGTGTTATAAGTTGTCTTTAATGTACATTTTTTTTATATTTAGTTCTGCTACCAAAGAGATTGACTTACTGAAATGATTGTGAACCATTTTAATGAATTCCTAAGCTGTAATGCCTTATTTCTCACTGTACAAGCTCATCATACTGCTATGCCTCCTATTTCTTTTGAATATTGTCTCTAAACATTATTATTGCTGGTGCAGAAATTATTTGGTGACTATCTTCTATTTTAGGGGAAAAGCAATCAACATTACAACAGACATGGATGGTTATTGATGGGAGGAAGGAGGATGAGAAATAGGAACTGAACCCCTTCTCTCATACCTNTGTTTGAATATCATCTCTAAACATTATTGCTGGTGCAGAAATTATATGGTAACTATGTTCTATTTTAGGGGGGGAAAGCAATCAATATTACAACAGACAGGGATGGTTATTGATGGGAGAAAGGAGGATGAGAAATAGGAACTGTACCAACTCTCTCATACCTTTGAGGACTTCATGAACTTTTTCAAAAGGCTGCAAGAACTATACCAACAGTGACATGACATTTTGAAATCTGTCAGTTACTTTATAGAGGAGGAACCTCTGACTAAATCATTTTCTCTCAGACACATGAAAGCCGAGTCCACAGATCCTTCCATCAGCGAATAGTTCAAATGTAGTTCAAATGCTTTCCTCGCAAACTTTTCCTTAATGGAGAAGTCAGTGATCTTTACTTGGGACAGATTGAATCTGTGAATATTGATGCTGCAAGCCTGACGAATGTGATTGAACAGCCCCTACTATATGTTTTTAAAGATAGAAATACTGGTCATGGCTTCCTTTTAGTTTTTGTCCAATGAATTAAAAGTCAACGCAAATGTTAAGCAGTAAAAGAAATGTAAGATCCCTGGTATACATTGTACTTTTAACAGTGCTTATGATCAATATAATCAAATAAAAGTTTTAATATGTAACTTGATATTTGTTAATTTCGCTCGATTTTACCTCGTCCAACATTTGATATTAAATCTTGTTGATATATATATGAGAGGGATTGCACACAAGATTGTATCAATGTCAATGAAAGCAATTATTTCTTAAGTTTTCAACCATATTTCTTGAAATTTCATTTCTAAATTTCATACATCAATTGTTCAAGACAGTTTTAAGGTCATGCAAGTTCATTCAGTCAAGGTGAAGGCTACAGCTTCATGTTCTAAAAGTTGTATCAGCTGTCATTTGTTGATAAAAATACTCGCATAGATAACAAAGTTCAACCATTAACATTTGATGGCCGAAAACAATGCAACAAAAGGTAGGTCAGCAGACGTTTGCCATTTTGCTGAAGACAAGGTTGTACTGTCCAACTTCTGTGTTTGTATTTCTTATTTTGGTGTAATTGCCAGTCGCATATGAAACTCAGAACGTAGATTGAAGCCTTGATAATTAACATACATCATTAATTATAATCAAACGAATTACACGCTCGTAATTGTGGTCCCCTAATGTTCACGTTTCACACCTGTAGGTCGATCACATACCTGAGTGAACGACGACAGTGTGTTGCCATCGGATCCGCCACCTCCCATGACAAAGTACTAGATTTCGGGGTTCCTCAAGGGTCGGTGTTAGGACCACGAAAATATTGTATGTACTCCAAACCGATTGGAGAGATTTGTCGTCGCCATAGCCTTCGCTATCATTGCCATGCTGATGACACACAAATTTACATGGTCATAAAACCACAGGACAGTTGGAATGCAGTCTCAGAAAGTCTGGAAGCTTGTCTGACAGATATCAGTATCTGGATGAACGCCAAGATGCTTAAACTTAATCAGGAAAAGACGGAACTAATCGTCTTTTCCCCAAAGTGTCAGCAAACAATGGCTCTCCAGCTCAAGGTTGGTGCCAGAACTATTGAGACTGTTCCAGCTGTTAAAAACCTAGGGGTATACTTTGACAGTTCTCTGAACATGGAGAAACAAGTGAACGCAATTGCCAAATCCTGTTACTACCAGATCAGGAACATCGGCTGTATTCGTCAGTTTCTAACTGTAGATGCATGCAAGATTTTGGTGCATTCACTTGTTACCTCTCGGTTGGATTATGGTAACGCCCTGCTCTGTGGTATATTTGACAAACTAACTAGTCGTCTGCAGAGGGTTCAGAACACTGCAGCACGGCTAGTTACTCGTACTCGAAAGAGAGAGCACATCACACCTGCGCTTTATTTGTTGCACTGGTTACCTGTACGATACAGGTCGCAGTACAAAATTCTGGTATACACATACAAGGCACTGAATGGAACAGCTCCTCAGTACCTACAGGAACTTGTTACGGTGTATCAGCCGTCAAGATCACTGCGGTCGGAGTCAGAATCTTCGTTGTGTGTCCCAAAATCTCGTACTGTGACCTACGGAAACAAATGCTTTGGGAGGGTTTCGGCTACGTTGTGGAATAGCCTACCATCTGCGATTAGGAAGTCGAATACCCTGGCCAAGTTCAAGAGGGACATAAAAACTCACCTCTTCACGTCTGCATTTTAGAATCTTTGCAAAGACGTCATGTAAATACCACCCTATTATTTGTTCAATTATGTGCACATTGCTTGTTAAATGTATGAAAGTGATTGCAAGCCTTTGTTGTTTGTTTTCACAATTTTAACCATTACTATTATCCATATGTTTTAAAGCGCCTTGGAGTAATTTTACAAATTATATAGGGCGCTATATAAATGCTGTATATTATTATTATTATCCGAAGGCACAGGTAAATCTACCCGCAGGCCAGAGATCATTGATCAGGCCAACGTATCGATCGTAGGGAACAATAAAAGCTAGTCTAATGAAGGTGAGTCTGATAGGAAAGGGGAGATGAAATTATCATGATTTGTGAAAACTTTATGTGTAACTGTCCAATGCATGCGTAGCATTCAAATGGTGTTGTGCAACGGCTCAAATTTCATGCGTAACGGTTACCGTTTCGCTAAAACAGCCTGGAGAGAACACTGACCCGGGGTAGAAGGGAAACCAATTTTGTATAAACAGTGGGTGTGACCCCCCTTTGGCAGAAAGGCAGGGCCAAAGAGGAAAATAGCTTTTAAATCCATCTGTAGGAATGACAGGATTATGTTCACATTTGGTCAAAAGCATCCATGGGTAAAGGGGACCTAATTTTGTACCAACAATAGGTCTGACCCCCCTGGGGACAGAGGGGCGGGCCCCAATAGGGGAAACATAGCAAATACTTCCAAATCCCCCTTTTATTTTAAGAATGACAGGATTTTGTTCAATTGCATATAAATAAAAACCCTGACTATCCATGTAATACATGTGCACTTTCAGTGACATAATGCTTTTTTAACTTCAATTTTGCTAACATTTCTAGATAAGCGATACAGGCCCTCTGGGCCACCTGTTATTATTATTATTCTGCACAAATCTTGTCACAGCCTTCTAAATGACACCTGGTATATGATCGCTATTTTCACATGTTGTAGGTCATGGTCTGAAGATGCCTTTGAAGTATTGTCATCTTCATTGAAAATTCAATATGGCCGATCACCATATGACATAAGAACTGATTTTTTTACCATTTTAAAACAGCCATATCTCCCATAAGTTGAGGTAGTACTATGTTTTATTATATTTTGCTGATAGAGTGTGGTCAAGGCTAAATTTGACCCATGCTATGTAATGAGGAAAAGAGTCAAATTTAAATCCTCGCCGTTTGGTCAATCGTCAGCTATTTTTAAAATATTCTCATTTTTCACGTCTTCATTAAAAAAAAGTGTTTTAGTCGTCGATAGGAGATGGCCATCCGATTTCTTGGATATATTTATTGTTTCTGAAACATTTCCCCATAAAGTCATATGACGTGTTCGTTATTGCCATTGATCTTTTTAAAAAACTTTTTACAAACTTCTACGATCTTGTTCTCCAATTCTGCCTTTTAAATATTAACCACAACCAGTACATGTATTCGACTAAGGGCCCGTATGAAATGTTGTTACTTTTTGGAGCCATTAGGATTTCGAGGTGAACTCCACGGGCTCGAATTGAATAATAACCTATACCCATATATTTCTTTAACAATATCAAGCTCAACTTTTTGTCTCACATTGTTTTACCAAAAACTGTCAACATTCGTATTTCGGTAGGGGTCAACGATGAATTAATCACAAAAGAACGAGCATGATATCGAAAATAATAATGTAATGTCAAGATTATTAAGTACTGGTAATTATTTATGTAAAATAAATTATATCACATTAAACAAATTCTGCGAAGAACACTGCCACACATCCATTTCTTTGTAAGATTATTCCATATTCATTGATATGTGAACAAATGAATATTTCACGTAACCAAATCATAGAAATTGTGTCATTATTTTATCACATATGAAATATATACTAACACTTGCGCTAATTCTCCTTATATAATTTTGTGTGAGCAAGACGCCCATAGCCCGTGATAAACACACATTTAGGAAAAACACAGTGACGGTCATTTGTATTTTGCCCGAAATGTGGTCACTGTATATGTTCCAGATATCTCGCAACAATAAATTGTCGCCACACTCAATATTTGTTTCTTCATGGTTTCAATTATGTCCTATTCAGGTTAACATCAAGGTTAAGATACTGACAGCGCCCAGACAAAGGACATCAAAATTTGGGGCACCGTCCTCATCTATCGATGTTCTCGAGAATAGAACGTTTGTCATCAAAACTATGTACATTCCTACCACGATGACCCCCAAGACACCAGTCGGCAGCTTCTGCCTTATCAGAAATTGTGTAGTTTGGGAATTCGTAAGGGCTACACAAAAGTCAATGGTAAGTTTACTTTAATTTATTTTTTAAATATTATCACATATTATTTTCTATGCATTTGGCTCATTTGCACATGGCTAATATCAACTTCCCTATTTCCATTGTACTGCTCATGATCAGCATGCCAACTGTCGATAATACTGTGCCATTTTTGGGGGGTGTCACATGTACCACATACATTTAAAGGGGCCAAATATATATATATATATCACTTTGCAAAAATTGCAAAAAATGCTGCATGAAAACATCCTACAATATCAACTTTTTCATAGAACCATATTTGCATATTTTAACACACTAGGCGATGCATGACAAAACAAATGCAAATATATATATATATGTATATTTTGTCTATCCTTGCATTTTGCTCATTAAGCTTTTACATCCTGCATTTTTAGCTCACCTGGCCTCAATAACCAAAAGGCCTAGGGTGATGATATTTGGCCAGTAGCATGCTGGGATGAAGGGCTGCCAAGTTTGTTCAAATGAATGACCTTGACCGACTTTCAAGGTCACAGGGGTCAAATATTTTAAAATCTTCAACAAACTTCTCAATAACCAAAAGCCCCCGGGTACTGATATTGGGCCTGTAGCATGCTGTGATGAAGGACTACCAAGTTTGTTCAAATGAATGACCTTGACCAATGTTCAAGGTCACAGGGGTCAAATGTTTTAAAATCTTCAACAAACTTCTTCTCAATAACCAAAAGGCCCAGGGTACTGATATTGGGCCTGTAGCATGCTCGGATGAAGGGCTACCAAGTTTGTTCAAATGAATTCACCCTTCCATGCCCCGCCCCCACGTAGCAACCAAAGTCATGTGACTACATAATCCAACAACAAATGTAAACAAGCCATAGTAAAATTTTGCCCATGGCGATGGCAGCAGCGACTGTTGCAGGACTCGGGGACATTCCAGATGATTTTTGTATGGGATACATTCAAGATGCAAACATTTCTGAAAAATGTTTATCCAGGGGATCTATTTATTTTAGAGAGGGCTATGTCCACAACCTAAATTTAACAAAAAATGATGTCCAAGTGGAGGTGGCAGTTGGATGGAGATGCTACCGAAGCATGAGAAAGGGGGAGAAGCCACACTTGTTAACATTACATGTACAGTAGGCTTAACAAAGAAGTGTGTTAAGAACGCATACTGTTCAGCTGGGTAATTATCCAGTTTGGGTCTGTCGAGTTCTGTTTTTCTTTTTGTTTTAATTAAACGGTTGTTCAAAATATCATGCAGTGATGTACGTTGGTTTCCTTGTTCAGACGTTTTTTAAATAGCGGTATCCGTGGCTCAATACTTGGCAATTCTCCCTATTTAGGAGGGAGACTCGCAAGTTTTACATCTACATAGTAATGACCACCTTCATTTATTTGAAGATCATATCATGTGATAGTGGGTGCTAGGCCAAGAGAAGAAATTGAGCAATTTAAACTAGTGAATTTGCTAAAATTTCATCTGAAAGAACAGCTCAAAATATGCCATTTCCTAATAGGGTGTACAGTACATACATTTGTTTTAATCTCCCCGATGGACATTTAAAAAAGTTGTCGAGTATGACAAGCTGGTGTTAAACTGTTTATGTGTGTTCTTACCTATAGCAATATGATCATATATGAACCCCCTATATATATGTGTGTACCCTAAACTACAGACTGTAGTGCAGGCCTAACATACAATCATGGCAGTCAATGAGTCATTCAAAATGTAAAAATTATATATAACAAAAGGTGGACATTGATAACGTTAACAGTCATCTCCGACATCTGTTGCTGTACTGTGCGATTACATCCAAATAAAATAAGGGAGTAGGCCCTATTCAAAACATTTGTTCCTAAATGTACTGTTTACAGTGAAGAAATAAAAAGTCTAAAACATTAGTCATATTAATTATATTTAATTATTCCTTTAATGCACTCGTCCAAGTTCTGCAAATGAAGTGAATAGCAGCTTACATAAAGGCATAACATAGACATGTATCCCTCCCTTTTGTCCTCTTTTTAATGACAAAGCATTAATTCTGTGTTGATAACAAATCATCAGTACATTATTACCCCATGCCCCATTCCCAAAATTATATAGTATTACCCTTCCTCCATTCGTCAATATCTAAGAGTGACAAGATCTGATGTGCAGTAGGCCTAGTTTACGAGTTTCTTCCATCTGCGCCAGGGACTTGCGAACTTACAAAGTTTCACGGTATGCCAGAGGTTCGCATCCTGTTCTGCAAATCACTGCTTGAGTGGAGATAGCAAATAAAAGCCAGATCTTTAAGACCAAAATTGTGTCGCAGTCTCATCAATGTTAACAACAGTTTATCCTCGCACTCCATGTTAACTATGTCTTTCCTGTTATTATGGTATTGTGGGGCCTGAATAGTGAGAAAGTCAAGTAGGGCATGGAATGTTGAGAATTTGAATCCTGTATAATATTCAAATAATCCTTGAATCTGTGATTCCTCCTTTAAAATCCCCTGAACAGTCAGTGGTTTGGGTTTGTCATCACTTACAGGATTTCCCAATGTAGCTTCATGTTGTTCATACCACTCTCTGTATTCATTGAATAAGGCTTCAGACTGATGAACTTGTTGTTGTAGCCTCTTGATTTCAGCTGCTGCTGATAGCAGTTCCAAAGATGTTCCTGAAAAAAAGTTCTATAAATAAATCAAATTCAGCTGATTTTATTTTATTTTCAGTCTCAGAAGAATGACATTGCTTTTAACAATGGCAATGTCATGTCTTGCTGAGAAATGATTTATACCCAACCAGTAAAAGTTAGGTTGCCACCTTGTTACCAAGATTTGGTGGAAATGTCAAAGGTTGCAATGTTGGAAAAGGCAACACGGTCCCAAAGTACTTACACCCTATGGAACAGATTCGGAGAGAAAAGACTTACAGCATCTCAGATGTTCAAAGTTGTAAACGGAAAGAAAGGTCCTACTGATGCTATGCTAAGAGATTTGTTTACAATAAAAACATTCTCTTCTGTAGCAATAGATTATGGTATTAGTAGGGGGAAAATTGCCAGAGAAAAATATGTCAGTCAAAAGTCTGTCTAAAACATACATGTCCATGATTGTGGGTTAGTAATAAACAATGATTTTTCCCATCTAGCTGCCACACCTGATGGTGAAGTATGTGACAGAGGGGAGACTGGTATTGTGGAAATAAAATGTCCCTTTGTAGCAAGGCAGATGAGTATTACTGAAGCTTGCAATGTGATCCAGAATTGTGTACCTAGTTATGAAAACAATGTTGTAAAAATGAACAGAAAACACAACTACTATGTTCAAATACAGGGACAACTGCTTAACTGCTAGTCACAGGTGCTCCATGGTGTGACCTTGTTGTGTTCACAACAAAATAACTGTTTTTTGAGAGAATTTATCCTGATATTCCATTTATGACCAAAATATTACTTCAGCTGTCATTTTTCTACAAGCATCATGCTTTACCATACCTCAAAAGATAAGGTATACCCCATAGCTTTCCCTAAATCACACCAACTGAGCAAACCCAATAATAATGTACACACATACTTTGATATTGCCACAATTTCACATTAGAACTTGAAGCCTTTAAAATATATTGGTTTGCAATTCCTAGTCTCTAAAATTGTATTAATTGATAATAGTTATACATGTATACAGTGAAACCTGTCTAACCTGACATTCACTGGGGCATAACATACTGGTAAGATTACAGAAAAATAGTCTGTCAATAGTCTAAATACACAGGTCATACACTATTATTTTCATAACACATGGGATTACAGCATTATGTGTAAAGTGTCTGAATAATTAGGGGTCGGACGAGACAGGCTTCACTGTATTTTGTTCCAGTTAAAACTGGTATTAAATATTTAATGAAAACCAATACAATTGAAATTGTACACAACAATACCATAAGTGTTCTAGGACTATATACATATAGAGATTACATGCCAAATGAGTTTGATGTATAGTGCATAGTTCAGTTTCTGGTTTTAAAGATAAAATGATATTTTGGTATCTTTCCATTTTCAAAATTTATCTCAGCTTTATACTAAAGCATATCTATACCTTGGACATCAGTTTGTACAAGATCATGTTCTTGCTGTGGTGCTGATACATGGCCAGTACTGTCTGGAGTGTTAACTGGGACTGAAGTGGGCTGGGGATCGTCCATATCATTGCTCAGTTCAATGCTGTGTCTTGACAATAAAGAAATGAAGAAACTATTTTATTATGAGTTTTCAAGACATAACAATTTAGGTGTAACCATAATTATTTACAATATGATCACAATGTATTCTTCTTTTGATATATCACAACATTAAGACATGGAGAATTGGTTGAAAAACCCACCAAAGACTCATTGGTTAGAAACTAGAAAGGGATAAATCTTTCAATAAAATCAATCACTTACAGTATAACTACATGCCCTGGATGAATTTATATAAAAAATCTCACTTTAGAATGTCTATTTCAATTTGTATGTATGCACACTTGACATTTTGGGAATAACAATTTGTTTATCAAAATTTTTAAACACCAAGGTATTAAGAAGTTAATCGATTATAGCTTATCTGATTCACTGCAACATATTTCCTATCAGGACAATACTTTCTACTTGGAAAATCTATAGCACTGAAAAACTGATCATAATTACAAATGTACTGATACATAAAATAATATTATGGTCAAAATTGAAATGTTCATTATAAGAGCAGATTCCTTAGCAGTTTTCTTGGTCAAATTAACTCGCCCAACAGAATGCCCGAGTCTTCAATGAAGGCGGCACTTTTTATTTCTCCTCCATTAGCTGGCAAAGGATCGACGTATTCTTCTGATGGTCCCAACTCACTCATTAAATGCTGAAACAAACCAGAAGTATATATGACTTGTAAAATCAGAATGAAAAGGGAGGTGTGGCTTTATAAACATAACAAAATTAGATATATCATGAACAGTATCATGACAAATTAATAGTTTCTTCTTTGGATTGTTACATATTTTTCATGGATTTTTTTTTTATGTCACTTGCAACCATTATATCAGTAACATAACATAATATTTAAGATAACAACCCTACCGTCTGTGTATTTTTCTTTATCAAGAGTACTGTCAGTACAGTACTGACTGAGTAATATTGTGCATACATGTATATGTAACGCCAACCTTCTGTGATTTTTCTAAAAAAACATCGAGATCACATGATTGATTGCTCCCTGTACATGTCATGTACTCTCGTTAAAGTCTAACGGTAAACAGTAAACAAGTATCTTCTACTTTCGTTTTGTTGACATAGGGGCATGTAATACAGCTGTAATGTAAACAACTAATGGGTCAACAAAATGTTGGTTTTATTAAGATTAAAGATAATAATTGATATGTGTTTGCTGCTTGCACACCCGCATCTCTTTATATGCGTATGAATTAAACCAGCAGAACACAAGACATCAAAATAAGAAATGATGATTCCGCTGTGCATGCCCCTGTGTTGGACCGATAGCTCTACACAGTGTCATAACAAGTTTTGCTCGAGACATATTAAAAACATATGAATGAAATTGAGGATTATATATAAATGTGAGTATTGCCTGTTTGGTCAACCATATACTCTGCTTTACTACATTATATTTTCTAATATCGGGATATAAACATACCTTTGAACAAACAAACTTGTGTCTATCTATATTTGTTGCGTTAAGCTGCGAATGGGGTCGTCCACAAGCCTTCACCCATTTCAGGCATGTTTCTAGGTTGGTTTTAGGGTTTTGGAAAGAGAATAAATGTCACATCGTTCTCCAATCTTTCTGCATATCGGCTGTCGCTGTTGCAGGTTCCCCAGGAGCACTTCTTCACCATTATTTCACTGCCGTTCGTATTTACCCTCGTGTCAATGTCCGACAAAGTTGTCGGAGGTAATGGCCAACAATCGAACCCGCGCTCTGATTGGCTGAATTTGTATAGCAACCGCGTTGCTAACAACAATGTGGAAGGGTGAATTACCTTGACCCACTTTCAAGGTCACAAAGGTCAAATGTCTTTAAATCTTCAAACGACTTCTTCTCAATTACCAAAAGTCCCAGGGTACTGAAATTTGGCCTGTAGCATGCTGGGATGAAGGACTACCGAGTTTGTTCAAATGAATGACCTTGACCAACTTTCAAGGTCACAGGGGTTGAATGTCTTAAAATCTTAAAACAACTTCTTATCAATAACCGAAAGGCCTAGGGTGATGATATTTGGCCAGTAGCATGCTGGGATGAAGGGCTACCAAGTTTGTTCAAATGAATGACCTTGACCCACTTTCAAGGTCACAGGGGTCAAATGTCTTTAAATCTTCAAACGACTTCTTCTCAATAACTAAAAGACCCAGGATACTGAAATTTGGCCTGTAGCATGCTGGGATGAAGGACTACCAAGTTTGTTCAAATGAATGACCTTGACATGGTTCAAGGTCACAGGTGTCAAATATGTTAAAATCTTAAACGACTTCTTCTCAATAACCAAAAGGCCTAGGGTACTGATATTGGGCCTGTAGCTTGCTGGGATGAAGGGCTACCAAATTCGTCAAATGAATGACCTTGACCCACTTTCAACCTAATGTCCTTGTTTGACATTCAAGGTCACAGGCATCATGTGTTTAAATCTTTTAATAGGTTCTTATGAATCAAACACTTATATTCTGCCTGTAGCTGTATTTTAGTCCACTTTTGAGATTACAAGTGTGGGATTAATACCAGGTGAGCGATGCAGGCCCATTGGGCCTCTTGTTTCATTAATGTAATAAAAATATATCGCATCGTCCCCTAGCCATTTCTTACACAAATGCTTTATATAATGATGCTCTCCACAGATTATGGCATGTGGGCCGTTCCAATTTGATCCGAAAGTGGAGGAGGACTTTCTGGAACCGGCAGTTGTGACGATTTCCGAGGCGCCTAAGCCTCTTGGGAACATTGGTGTCTGTAAGTTGTAATAAGTTTGACTTCATCACATTTAATATTCCATTATTATTTTTGTACAGAACGAACCATTTCCTGTTGGTGCTTCCACTTTCAGGGGTTTTTGTCGGGTTTGTGTAAACCCTGTTGCAGCAATGCATAAACAATTAAAAAATATCTTTTTACAACTTTCCAGGCATAATACTCTATGTGGAGCTTTCATAGTATCCCGTCCATGATTGGTTTGGTATTATTTTGCTTAACGTCCTATTAACAGCCATGTCCAAGAATCTAATCTCAATCTAAATACATATATAACATCACATTGAAATTGGTTCAGGACAAACTCTGCAAATTCATGTGCTTATTGAAACCATCTCATTTTTATCCCCCCCCCCCCCTTTCACCAAAACGGCGGATATTAATTAGGGTTTGTCTGTCTGTCACTCCCCGTTTCTGTGAAATAACTGAAACACATGTTAACCAATTTTCTTAAAACTTAGTTTATACAGGGTTAATATTTTTCTGTCTCGGCCAAGTTCATTTACCGCTTGCAGCGGACTTTATTTATCAGAGTTATGAACCCTTGAATAACAGTAAACGTCATAATCTCCCAATTCTGTGCAATAACTGCAACATATATTATCCAATTTCCGTCAAACTTTCTACCACGGTTCAATGCATTAACTTCTGTATAAGTCATTTTTTTCCTCGTGTTTAAAGTTATATACATTATGTCTCAACAGCGCGACACTTGCATGTTTAAACCAAACTTTGATATTGTTAACCTACAATAATGTCCTGCAAACGGGGGATATACATTCCACAAATTTCCGTGCTACTGCAAGATATTGAAACCTTCACATATTACTGGAAAAAATAGCTAAATGAAAAATTGTTCGCTTATCACTTTGCAATTTTCAAAACAACAACATTTTCTTAAATCTATACATGTTATGCTACTATTTCCCAATTCCAGCTCATGATCATAACCCCATTCCCATAATATAAAGCTGGCATTAAATTTCATGATCTGTTTCATAACATAGACATCAGATGTCCTAACGACGGAAACGTCGAGGAGGAAAGTTCTCCGCCTACAAGACGGCGGGGCCCAGGAATTCGCTGTGAAACTCTGGGGGGGAGGAAGTGGACCTACCACTCCCCACTAATGGATCGACAGTAGTCGTTGGGTGCATCACGATTGCCGAGTTTGGAGGAAGGAAAGAGGCCAACTCGACAAATTGTACAACCGTTACAGTATGAATCATAAAACTCTGCTCACTTCTGAATACAAGTGCCCCATTAGCAAAGAGACAAAGTGAAATTCTAGACGATGGCAAAAATGTCCACAATCAACTCTTTTCCACACAGCTTTATGAAATCCTCATTTATACTGGTAATAGCCCTAAAGCTTCCTTCCTGAAAATGTTAATCATGTTGCCTCAAAGGCACTTGACTGATTATCATTATCATTCGGTGAAATGCCAATTCATAAACGACTTGCCACAATCGGCCTGTGGGGCGATGCCAAAACAAACAACTTGGCGACACACAAGAATTCCCCCCATAATTGTTCAAGAGATGAGAGATTTTAAGACTCAAGTTTTGCACTTGTGTCTCACGCAGTCGGGCTAAATCGATCATTTGGAACAACACTACTGTTTATACAAGATGTTGTCTCCTTTGCATTGTGACCCATGCAAGTAAAACTTTCTTTAAAAGGCGTCTCTGCATGTGGCTGCCCACTTATTGCCATTTCACATCGCCAAATCCTTTATGCTTCATAATACACTTAATTGATTTCCCAGAACAATTACATCAATGAGTTCCCATTTCTCTTTTCAGGAAATTGCAGACGATGTGCCTTTTGAGGGCACGATAGATGCGATATCCATTGACGAGTATGTATCGGTGCTAACGCCATCTTCTACACCAAAACACAGTCCCTAATTCAAATCGCCTCATGGCCACCAACTCCAGCCACTTTGTCCAATCACATCCTGCTGAAAGTTTTCAATGAATTGTTGCTTGCTGTCATATATGTAATAAATCTACATTATGTACATATTGCATAATTCTTTCATATATTTAATGTAACGCCCCCCATCTCCTACAAAATTTTGTCATCCGACTAGATATAATCATATTTGGCATGTTTCCTATTTATATCAGACTAATGTTTTCCATTCCTACTTATACCTATCTGAACACAAATGTAACTGAAACCAGATATTTTTACCAATCATTACAAAGTAGTTATTGCCTTTCAAAAAAGCTTTGCTTCTGTGTGTCCCACTGCTTTGCATCATATGTTATCCTACTGTTGCCAACAATACCACCAACTATTTTCCGCACCACATCGTTGATGGCCTTTCAATTACCTAAATATCAACCCCACTCCATTTAATGTAAATTTTCCATGTCTCAACATACATTTTTATTATCGTATGACTTATCTGCTTAATTTCCATTGCAGCGATGAAGCAACCCTAGTGATGAGATGCAAGAAAATGAAAAGCTTCTCAACATTTCATTGCCTCTCTTAGAAGGGGTATTTCCCAATTTTGAATTCATTCCAAATACCACAGTCAAAGGACTGGAATTAGAATTCACACATTGTAAGTACACCATTTCATTTAAATCTGTACTAGAACAGTACATGTACAAAATGATTGAACACATCCATTGCCTATTTAAGATCATTTCAAACAGGAAAACATACATCTTAGGCAGTGACATACAGAGTATGTACAGAAAATGTACACACGCCACATGTTCTCATAAATTACAGTTCACTAAGATTTTCTACAAACGCCAGCAGACTACCAGATAAAATATCACACAATATCACATATTTCACGTTACCTATTACATTGGAGACACATCAAAATATCATTACAATCAGTGTCATGCTAAATTCCTACCAAAACAGCATGTTTGCATACTCACATTAGATGCAATATCTGATGCATACTATGATCAATTGCACCCATTTTAAAATTATGCAAATTAAGCTATGTTTATAATCCAATTCAGTAATGCATTATATAAATCATTTGATGCTATTTCCATTTGCTTGCAAATGTTATTAATACATTTTACATAATCGATAACTTTTAATGCCAATACATAAATTGTTATATCCACTTCCATATATTCTCAATTTTTTTATTGAGCTATAAGAAATTAAACATTTTCAATTTATGCTTTGCCCACAATATTTTCGGTATGCTCATTCCTAAAATTTTGAAATTTTCTTATTGCAGGGAAGCTGCTGACTAAATATAAAGATCTAAGGAACAATGAACATATTCCATGGGTTTACTATAATGTCAGTCGTCGAAGGGTCTATGTACTGGAATGATATTGTTGGATTTTCAGAAGGCCTTTGACCACGAAATTTTATGTGAAAAACTGAAGGCAATGGGAATAGAAAGTGTATCCTGGTTCATGTCATACTTGTCCTCACGTGAGCAACTTGTATCTTTTAAAAATGTTTTCTCAAAACCACAAAGAGTCACATGCGGTGTTCCACAAGGTAGTATTCTGGGACCACTTTTATTTTTATACTATGTAAATGACATGGAACTGAGCATAAGTACCGACTGTACATTATTATTGTATGCGCAGATGACAGCGCTATTTTGTTTTCTAATAAAGATCCTGAGGAAATTAAAGATAAATTATCCAGAGAAATATCCAACTGTAATATATGGCTGGTGAACAACAAATTATCCTTACATCTTGGCAAGACGGAATGTATATTGTTCGGTACTAGACAAAAACTAAAAAAAGTTGATAACTTCGAAACAAATGTAAATGGCCAAACAATAATGGCCAAACAATAAAAGCTTCAGAAAAAGTGTGCTACCTTGGCATTGATATTGATCAATTTTTGACAGGAGACTTCATTGCTGAGAACATAATAAAGAAAGTAAATTCTCGTCTACATTTTTTGTACAGACAATGTAAAAATCTTCCTCGTGTAATTCTCTAGTGCTATGTGATGTTGACTACTGCTTCTGATATACGGTCTTTAGCAAACAAAATAAATTTTAAGAACAGAGTGAAAACATTTTTACAGCAGAGTACTTGATATTTTATGACTAGTTATGTGTAACACATAATGCGTTTTATGCAACAGAGACCGTTAGTGTTTTATACTTATATGAATACTACCATATGTGACACAGAACATAGGGTGGTGATGTTAATTTTGTACTCAATATATTACCCTGTGATAAATATATATATGTATTGAATTGTAATTGTATTTGTAAAATGATCGTATTTATGTTATATGTTAGGGACCACAGTGGAAATAAGTCTGTGACTTTACTGTGTTATCCCGGTAAAACATGTATTGTATTGTCCATGTGATGTACTTTTATGTATTGATGCAATGTTTTACCAAATAAATCTATCTATATCTATCTATGCTTTCATTATTAATATAAACATCCAAGGAACTATGATCATTCCCTGGGTTTACTATCTTTGCTTGCAAATGTACATTTTACATAACTGATAACTTTTAATGCCGATACATAAATTGATATATCCACTTCCATATATTGCGAGGACTTGATCAAATCTAGTTCTTATTCTTCTTATTTCCATGATTCTTGTTAACACTTTTTTCTCAAGAACAAACAAAGATGTTACGTTTATATTTCAGCACATGATAGAGGACAACGATCGCATGACACCCGAACAAAAATCATGGTCATACATTTAAAGGTCAAGGTCAGAGATCTATAAATAGAGATTTTTTCAACGTTTTTCGAACGACCATAACTTCAAAAGCGTTCGTTGTACTGCATGTACGCTTGTATACTTCTTGTAGATCATGGTCGGGGCTAACTTTTTTCCCCCATGGCATTTTATCAGAAAAAATGTCAAGTTCAGGGCCTCACTATGGGGCCAAATATAGGTCAAAAATGAAAATCGCAAATATAGTAATTTTGTTATCACAATTAAAAACGCACGATCTAAGGATGGTATTGCGAAGTTTCCAGGTGGTAGCATAAAAACAACGAAGATATGCTACTTTGAAAAATGTTCATTTTCCCGCCAAAATTCAATTTTTTTTTTTTTTATACAATTCCTTAAGGCCTACAGAGTATATATTCGGCACATGCATAGCATGTATCCTTGACTACAAAAATAACGCAAATCGTTGACCTTGACCTTCATTAAAGGTCACAAGGGTCAAATGTTCCAAAAAACTTAATTTTTTCAAATTCTTTCATATTTGTTTTTTTACACTTCATTTTTAAGTGTGCATTCTTATGAGGATAATTCTAAAGTTTCAAGGTCAAAATATCATAGTGCACATAAATAGATAAAGGACAGATGATTTCTTAAAGAATGGTCAAAATACTTTCGTCAAACTGTACAAAGGGAAATAACTCTAGCAGAAAACTCAGCCTCTTTGACCAGTTTGTCTACATTATTATGAGTCATTGTCCGTCCTGCACTTAGGTGTTGCTCGGTCCAATTAACAGAGCTGTCAATCACCATTGCCCCTGTTACCATCATCAAATGTAGTGTTGTTTGGTGTACTGGGTCCAAATAACAGCTGTCATTTACCATTGCCCCAGGACCATCACTGTGTGTACTGGGGTTTGGTGTCGCTGGGCCCAAATAACAGAGTTGACATTCACCATTGCCCCAGGACCATCACTGTGTGTACTAGGGTTTGGTGTCGCTGGGCCCAAATAACAGAGCTGTCATTCACCATTGTCCCAGGAGCATCACTGAGTGTACTGGGGTTTGGTGTCGCTGGGCCCAAATAACAGAGCTGTCAATCACCAGACCATCACTGTGCGTACTGGGGTTTAGTGTCGCTGGGCCCAAATAACAGTTGATATTCACAAATACGTACCTCAAGTAAATAACGTCCCAACAAAGGGGAGGGGGACGGAAGAAAGAAACACTAAACATCTTTCTTTCAATGCTGACTGTTCAGAAATAATTTGACCCTATGGTTAGGTTGGTCAAAGAAGGGAAGCGAAGGGAAGCGATCGTCAGTCCGAGAACATATCTTTGATCATTTTCCTGTTGGAAATCCCGTGTTTTGATCTTGATCAAATCTAGTATGTAATTGTTATGATTACTGTCGTCTGTCTGGGCTATACGTATTGCTGAACATATCATTTTTATACATAACATAATTGCCATATGTTCTTAGTTCTAATCCAAATTAAAGGACTGTGAAAAGATAACATAATGCAGTTTATTAATGCAACATAAAAAATATTTTTTATTGTTTTTTTCATTTTACCATTCCATTCTTTTCCCTTATAACATATGCATGGATGAAAATATAAAGAAGCACGAAAGAAGTATGGGTATTACGTTCTTTCTTAATATACCTTTTGCGTGTGTACCAACAGCAGTTATTTCTCGCCATATCTACATATACGATAAATGTCCAAATACAATTAAGGAAATGTCAACCTTTAGCAATGTAATCCTTGTTGAAATTCTTTGTTTTCTCTATGGAAGGGCAAGTTATTTTCCCGGTGTGAGATATATTCTCCAGATTACAGGTGTAATACTAATACGAACGTAACATCTATTAATATTATAAGTATATAGTTACATCAGATTAATATAGAAATTTCCTTTAGTCTGTAAAACATGAGCATTTTTGCCACAAATGGCAAAGATGATACAGCGTATTAGAAATTGTCACTCAGTATTAAACATACGGCGACAGTGACGTGGTAGCGATTGAAACATGTATTGTTGTTATTGCCAAAATGTTTATCCTGGCCTTTCTCAACCATGGTAATAATCGAAAATAGTATTTAATGCGCAATATTAATTCACGACACTATAAGAAGACATTTATTTCCTGAAAAAGATCTTTTTTTTTTTTCGACGCTTAACTTTATTTTAGACTCGATCCAATTTGACCTGCCCAATCAGTCGGATTAGTACACAGTCCATGTTAACGTGTGATTTGACGCAAGTGTGATGTTGAGATCGACGATCTGGACAATCTGAAAAATAAATATCCTGTTAAGTCTTTCATGAAAACCATAGAAACGCAGAATTGTTTCATAAAAAAATGATGCACATGTATTTTAGGGAATCCATCAAATATTTTTTACCGATTTCTCCTGTGTAGACGCATGGTTATGCATAATAATAAGACAATTTCCTTGGGTGAATCTTGTATACGACAATGTGGTACAAAGCCTGCATAATGATATTCCCTGGTTGAATCTTGTATAAGACAATGTGATACAAAGCCTGTATAATGATGTTCCGTGGGTGAATCTGGTATAAGACAATGTGATACAAAGCCTATATAATGATGTTCCCGGGGTGAATCTTGTATAAGACAATGTGATACAAAGCCTGTATAATGATGTTCCGTGGGTGAATCTGGTATAAGACAATGTGATACAAAGCCTGTATAATAATGTTCCCGGGGTGAATCTTGTATAAGACAATGTGATACAAAGCCTGTATAATAATGTTCCCGGGGTGAATCTGGTATAAGACAATGTGATACAAAGCCTGTATAATAATGTTCCCGGGGTGAATCTTGTATACGACAATGTGATACAAAGCCTGTATAATGATGTTCCCTTGGTGAATCTTGTATAAGACAATGTGATACAAAACCTGTATAATGATGTTCCCTTGGTGAATCTTGTATAAGACAATGTGATACAAAGTCTGTATAATGATGTTCCCTTGGTGAATCTTGTATAAGACAATGTGGAACAAAGCCTGTATAATGATGTTCCCGGGGTGAATCTTGTATAAGATAATGTGATACAAAGCCTGTATAATGATGTTCCCTTGGTGAATCTTGCATAAGACAATGTGATACAAAACCTGTATAATAATGTTCCCGGGGTGAATCTTGTGTAAGACAATGTGATACAAAGCCTGTATAATAAGGATCCCGTGGCGAATCTGGTATAAGACAATGTGATACAAAGCATGTATAATAATGTTCCCGGGGTGAATCTTGTATAAGACAATGTGATACAAAGCCTGTATAATGATGTTCCCGGGGTGAATCTGGTATAAGACAATGTGGTATAAAGCCTGTATAATGATGTTCCCGGGGTGAATCTTGTATAAGACAATGTGATACAAAACCTGTATAATGATGTTCCCTTGGTGAATCTGGTATACGACAATGTGATATAAAGCCTGTATAATGATGTTCCGTAGGTGAATCTTGTATAAGACAATGTGATACAAAGCCTGTATAATGATGTTCCCTTGGTGAATCTTGTATAAGGCAATGTTCCCTGGTGTAATGTTAAATTGAATTATATTTATCTCATTTGTTAGTTTATTGCTGAAGTCAAAAAGATCTATTAACTACGTATACAGACACATTCCTTACAGTCCAAATTCTATAACAAACCTTTGTCAGAGATATTTTGATCACGTTTATTGGATATATTTGACTTAAAGTAAGTCACATTCGTCATTTAATAGTAAAGAAGCCGAATATTGTTACGCAAAGTTCATAGTTTTACTGATAACTCAGTTATACACTTAAATACACCTTGGTTCCGTAGGCAAAAAATATATCTGCAAATTTGTATGTGTTTCATAAAGTTTAACTAATACAAAATGTATCCCCCAAGTCATGCTTTCAACTACAATTTAATGGTGTTCCCCATCAAATTTTGATATTTTCCCCAGCGGAATCGTCTTTTCTGGTAATAAATACCAGGTGATTATGACCATCTCGAAGTCATTTTGTTTTGTATCGATGTCTACCGTAAGTCAATAAGAAGCTTCATTTTACAGAAAAGAGCGTCTCTCTTTGCTTCAATAAATAAACACTTTCTAGCAACGTCCCGACATTGTTGACATGCATGTCATCGCCAAGCACAAGTATATTGGTTTTATACCTGGTGTTAATTATGATTTACACTTTGGAATGTAACATACGCATTGATAATACGACAAATGAAAACAAAATACCATTGTACTCACGTGAAACTTGAACCGGACTTGATTTGTACGAAGTCTTTTTCCGTCTACGTAAACTTCTCCGGGTAAGGATATAAAGCCATACAGTTCTATCATACCAACTTTCAGTGAGCGAGCTTCAGGGTATCCATCGTGTATTACTGTTATGCTAAGTCTTTCTCCCTATAGCATCAACAGAATACCATTTTACTACTTTATTATTATTTATACATTCATTTTTACTCAGGTGGACCCTAATACCAATTAAAACCTGTTTTATGTGTTCATTGAAATAAAAACTGGTAGCCCTGGCAACATAATCACGTGAACAAAAGAAATGACTGTACGTCAGTCACTCCATGGAAATAAAGTTGTAATTAGTCATTTGTGGTAACATTAATACCAGAGATATAGCGATGATGTTTCAGTATATTTCACTACATTTTGTTTCTTAACAGAACTAAAATTAGTTTTAATGGAAGCACACACTATTGAAATGATGTTTAATAATTAGCAAAAATCATCTCAATACATCAACCTAAAAACATGACTTTAGCAGGTTAACAGAAAATCACATATCAATAAAGTCTTGATCATTTTCTTGAAAATATATCAATTTTTGGAAGACTTCGTATTTAAGACGTCACCTTTTATAACATGTGAAATGATAGATCTTTTAAACATAATTCATTTATTGAATCATTCAAATAGTGTACTCATTGTAGGTGTGTTTATTTCATAAAAAGTATAAACGTCTACTTTACTTTCTGCGTTCTATTAATGGTCAATTAATCAAAACAACGCATTGGAATTCTGGAAATGACACGAGATGTTCTGTAATGGGCTTTACACACATGTTGTGGTGTGTTGACTTGTTTGCAAGAGGTGTTTAAAGTAATAGTATTAATATATCAATGTGGTAACTAATTCAAGTATTCAAATACCTTGGTAGCGTTGAAATGTACCATAAGATAGTTTCCACGATTGAATGTATCTGTAAAAGAAAGAAACACGAGGAAACGATAATCATCACGTGTAACACCCTTTGTATAAAACAAATCACTGATTCAGCGGTCATTCTATTGTGACCAATATTTACAAGCTCGATGTTGCTAGAAAAAAATAGGTTCTCAGGATAAACACTAACTCTGAAAAATAGTTACAATACGATCTGAAACATTTGGTGCTTGATTGATGGGTATCCATCAAGGTTAAGCAAGAGGCCATTGGGCCTTAACGGTCACCTGATTTGTAATTCAACTGTTTTCTGTTATTGTTCTGTGACGAAACAACCAGTGCATATCATCCAGAATCGGCTTTTTGCCTATGGATTATCAGACAAAATAATGTGAACAACATATATCATGTATAGCTGATGATAATTGTCAGAAACGATGAAATAATATAATTATATAATATGATAAAAACAAGAGCTGGGAATGGTTGAACCAGGGTATGGAAATTGTTACTGTCGAAAAAGCACCTAATCATTCTTTCATCCATGAAGGAAAACGATTCTAGAATATCTGCATCTGAAAATGTTTGCGGAAAATTGATCTAATTCGACCCATTTGGGCCCTGCCCCTAAGGTCTTAGATGATGTAAGCCAGGGTTTACGTTTTCCTATCACCAAACAGCAATCAAATAGCAATAACTTCAACAAAGTTAATTGAAAACATATTGAAATCAAGTGTTTCCTCTATAGTACTATAGTAAAATTTATCTTTTCCCCAGGGGAGAAGGGTTGACAATCCAGACGTAATGGACTTTACAATGTTGATAAAGCACCTAAAGACCTTTCCATCAAAGAAAAGGATGTGATATCAGCTCATTTGGGTCTGAAAAATATAACATTGTTGATATTATAACCAATTAAACCTCATTTAAATCCCGCCCTCATGCAGGTCTTAAGTGGAGTGGAGATCAGGATCTGAATTGCATACTATGAGAATACAGCATTCATGCAAAAACGTTTGAAATAAGTTAAATAAAAAAATAAAAAAAAGAGTTAAAAAAATTGTGATTGCATTAGATCAGCTTAGACGAAAACAATACTCTACATTTGATTGAATGCTTCAGACCATTTTTTTATGAAGTTTATTTATAATTGCGTAATTAGCCCATTATAAGGTTGCTTGGGATTAGCACGGCAAAACAATTTATTGCGTCATTGTTTTGTTCATGAGATAGCAGAAAGAAGTTTTAAAGTTAACAACAATTTGCAAGATTCAAATGCGTCACTGAGCGGCTCTTTCGTTGATTACACTGTTGGAAAGGAATTTCATTCTTTAGATTAGAGTTGATAGGTACGAAGCGACCATATGGTGCTAGACAAATATTTACTAAGGAACCTTCTACGTCAGTGGACGAAGAATCGATTTGGTGCAATATGTTTACTAAGGTATAGGCATCAACATAATAAGCATCAATTTCACACATCTTAACCTGGAGATTCTCCGTCGTCCCAAAACAGATGTCCATCGGCACGGAATTCGGCATCAAAATTAACAGCCAAACCAAAGTCGCGTTGTCTACTGCAAAAAATAAACATAGAAAGGAATGAATTATCAAATGTTATTGTAAAACGTAAAGATAATGTACTTCAGCTACATGTTTAATTTAAAGGTGAAATATCAACTTGCAAAAAATAGATGAGGTGTAGAAGTGACAAGTTCTATGGATGAAGTTGAAATCGATTTAAACTATGATTGGCCATGTACAATGTTTCTGTAATGAATATCTTTAGACATTAAACTGTATTGTACCAACTCGTTTAGGTATGCTCCCATGAGTTTGACCCTTGTCCCGGACGACATCGCATACGTCATTTCCATGTCACCTACCTGTATACAGTAGAGTTGGACGGTTCCTGCACAGGTATGATATGTCCACCTCGCAGGTGTAAATTAATAATGCTGAGAGGGGCATCGAGTGTGTTGATTGCGCCTGAGTGACCTACTTCCTCTCCCTAAATTGACAGTAACCAGGTTTATCAATATGCGGACAATAAAAAATGATCGAGAAACTTTCGAGAAACAAGATTTAGAGCTCACACATTTCTTCAACAAGTTAATGAAAGAAACAACTCTCGATTCATCCTTCGTCCGCGATTTTTTTTCAGATTTAGTGTTATATGTTTTTATGAGTAATACAATCATAAGCGATGTTTTGGGATATCGACATTTCTCCTTCATTTTTCTAAACATATAGAGGATCTAACATGAGTGTCCATGTCATATTGAACTTAATAAACGAATTGAACAATTTGAAATGACACTAGCCTTTAGAGTTTTAATTCGTTCCCACGGTTTTGACTAATCGCAGCCCTTTGGGTTCCATTACTCGTGTGTAATACCACATTTATGACATTACACGTATGTAATACCACATTTATGACATTACACCTATGAAATACCACATTTATGACATTACTCGTATATAATACCACATTTATGGCATGCCCTATGACATAGAAAAATGGGTTAGCTATGTGATAACATTAGTTTTACAAACACAAACTTAATATAATAATTGTTCGTATACCAACTTCGATAAAATGTTTTAAGTACTTACATCGTAGTAGGAGAACCATCTTCCTTTAGGAAAGTAGCCATCGACGGTTGTTTTGTTCTGCAAATTATAATGGGTCACGTGTGAAACTTTACTTCAACATCGATTGAAGCGTTTTGGCTAATAGCCGGTGTATTAAGCAAAAACATCACGTGCAAACTGTGATACATGTAAAGACAAACATTAGCACTTTTTTCATAAACCGATGAGCCTTCAAAAGACATCATCGATGCTGATAAGCAATTTCGAAGAATTGTTTTTGAATAGTATCAAAACTAGGTGAAGGAAGAAGGTAAGTCACACTGGTCGTTGCATCTTTTTAAGGTGACTCCACCCTTTCGCAATTAGCCAGCAGAATTCAATGAAAGTTTCACATAATGGTTATGTCAATATATAGAGATGATTTTATGAAAATCTAAGCATTCCGATAAACTGGGGATATTTTTTGTCAAATTCAACACTTTCACATTTTTTGAGTGTGTGGCATTGATCAAAACTATTACAGCAATAAAATAAGGAAAAGAAACATTGCTAATCAACCCTACAAATATTTTATTTATCATAAAATATTTACAACATGTTACAAAAAACATTTTTTATTGAAATTGGACGGATAAAAGTTACTAAATACAAGCTAAAAGCAAACAGGACACACAGTTTCATACAAAAAAAGTGAAAAATTGAACCAAATACACAAGAAGTCTTTATAATTCATTTATTTTACATTTTACAATAACTTTGATCCTGATGAAAGTTGTCTATCTTGAAAAAAACGGAAATTTTTGCAGAGGGATAGACTTTATACAATGACACTTAATTTCTTTACTATACCAAAAACGACGGAAATAAATTAAATTACTATATTTAATTGTCAATTTACTGTTCTTTTATAAAACAAAATTACTCTCCATCATGTACAATTTGGTCATCATTCCAGTGCCCGCTTACGCATGGTATATTTACATGTCAGGTACATATGTAACCATAGGCTTTCGCATGGTATGCCGCTATTACGTGCACGTACATGTACTTGCATTTTATAGGGATCTTGATATTTTACAAACCACTATTTTCACATAGTTATTGTAATTGCATTTGTGAAACGATTTATCTGACAGAGCGTAACTCGATCGACAAAAAAGTCGTAGCGAACAAGAGTTTGTGAACTACGTATACCACGTGATACGTACATGTACAGGTGAGGTCGGTAAACAAAACACATCAGTCTGCATTCCATGCGCCTCATATACGACCTTCTTGAAGTCGTCTGATCTTATGTCAGTGTCTTTCCGTGAGTTAATTAATGTCTTTCTATCATAAGCTTTATTTTAGAAGTACGTGTGATTACACATTTCCAAGTTAAGTCTCGATATCAGGTGTTGACATATCATCGTCAGGCACGTGTACTATTGTTTACCCGGTGTTACTATAATTTACACTACGGTAATGGAATGCCTGATACACAATACGGAAATGACGACACGAAAATACAACAAGAATAACATGTTTCTACACCGCAACAAACAGTCAACTCATCAACATTATCTGTTTTTATATCATAACGTCATTATTAAACATGCGAAACAATTCACTGTTTAGAGGTTAGTATTTCATGGGAAAATGAGAAGAACAAAACAAAAGCAACGAACTATATCTCAGTATTTGGGATGAAAACAATGAAAAATAGTAACATCTTTATTCAAAAAGTTATCAACGTTTGTTCGAGTAATAACTAACATAAGTGTTTATTGAAATTGGGTAGTCCGTTAGTGCTTGCAGATCATATTTTATTTGTCCATAGATGCACAACAAGCTGCCCGTTTTCATCATTTGTGATACTGTTGGCAGTTTGCATATTTTGCTTGTCCAATCTTGATATGTATTGCGAAAGATTATAATTATATGCATATATGTATTTTGTTGATTTATCGTTAATACAATAAACGATAGTAACCACATAAAATGCATAGAGCCAACTGCATGTGCGCGATCCTTTACACTCAGTTAGTTGAACGATTTTTTTTGTATGCCAGGTAATTCCAACATGTTTCATTTTCAGTCGACATTTGGTTTCTCAATTCGACAGACGATAAACAATAAACACTGACATCATGCTTTAAACACGATGCTCGTTTCAATCTATCAAAAACGTCAATCTACACGTGAAATCAATACTTAATAGACTTACATAAACTATTTCAAATTATCTTCATGGTAAGATCGGTTGAGCATTCTAATCGTGAGCTTGCCGGGATATTAGTAGATCTAGAGATATAAGTTTCTTTGTTCATTAGCCATTTTTCAAATATATCAATAAAAATTGATATTGGTGCAATACAGGAAGAGCGTGCAACGTGCATGGCGTGTTGGAAACTAGTGCATGCACGCTCATGGTCTAGTATCTTGCAAAACATAATTATTAAGCAACGAAAATTGTCGTTACATCGCAGATTTCATAGAATCCTCCATACTATCATACCTGCTCCAGTACGAGAGACACCATAGAATCCTCCATACTATCATACCTGGTCCAGTACGGGAAACAACATAGAATCTTCCATACTATCATACCTGGTCCAGTACGGGAAACACTATAGAATCTTCCATACTATCATACCTGCTCCAGTACGGGAGACACCATATAATCTTCCATACTATCATACCTGCTCCAGTACGAGAGACACAATATAATCTTCCATACTATCATACCTGCTCCTGTACGAGAGACACCATAGAATCCTCAATACTGTCATACCTGCTCCAGTACTGGAGACAACATAGAATCCTCAATACTGTCATACCTGCTCCAGTACGGGAGACACCATAGAATCTTCCATACTATCATACCTGCTCCAGTACTGGAGACACCATATAATCTCCCATACTATCATACCTGCTCCAGTACGGGAGACACCATAGAATCTTCCATGCTATCATTCCTGCTCCAGTACTGGAGACACCATAGAATCTTCCGTACTATCATACCTGCTCCAGTACTGGAGACACCATAGAATCCTCAATACTGTAATACCTGCTCCAGTACGAGAGACACAATATAATCTTCCATACTATCATACCTGCTCCAGTACGGGAGACACTATAGAATCTTCCATACTATCATACCTGGTCCAGTACGAGAGACACCATATAATCTTTCATACTATCATACCTGCTCCAGTACGAGAGACACCATAGAATTTTCCATACTATCATATCTGCTCCAGTACGGGAGACACCATAGAATCTTCCATACTGTCATACCTGCTCCAGTACGAGAGACACCATAGAATCGTCCATACTATCATACCTGCTCCAGTACGAGAGACACCATAGAATCTTCCATACTATCATCCCTGCTCCAGTACGAAAGACACCATAGAATCCTCAATACTGTAATACCTGCTCCAGTACGAGAGACACTATAGAATCGTCCATACTATCATACCTGATCCAGTACGAGAGACACCATAGAATTTTCCATACTATCATATCTGCTCCAGTACGGTAGACACCATAGAATCCTCCATACTATCATACCTGGTCCAGTACGGGAAACAAAATAGAATCTTCCATACTATCATACCTGCTCCTGTACGAGAGACACCATAGAATCCTCCATACTATCATACCTGCTCCAGTACTGGAGACACCATAGAATCTTCCATACTGTCATACCTGCCCCAGTACGAGAGACACCATAGAATCGTCCATACTATCACACCTGCTCCAGTACGAGAGACACCATATAATCTTCCATACTATCATACCTGCTCCAGTGCGAGAGACACCATAGAATCGTCCATACTATCATACCTGATCCAGTACGAGAGACACCATAGAATCTTCCATACTGTCATACCTGCCCCAGTACGAGAGACACCATAGAATCCTCAATAATGTCATACCTGCTCCAGTACGAGAGACACAATATAATCTTCCATACTATCATACCTGGTCCAGTACTGGAAACAACATAGAATCTTCCACACTATTATACCTGCTCCAGTACGAGAGACACCATAGAATCGTCCATACTATCATACCTGCTCCAGTACTGGAGACACCATAGAATCTTCCATACTGTCATACCTGCCCCAGTACGAGAGACACCATAGAATCGTTAATACTATCATACCTGCTCCAGTGCGGGAGACACCATAGAATCCTCAATACTATCATAACTGCTCCAGTACGGGAGACACCATATAATCTTCCATACTATCATACCTGGTCCATTACGGGAAACAACATAGAATCTTCCATACTATCATGCCTGGTCCAGTACGGGAAACACCATAGAATCTTCCGCCCTATTATACCTGCTCCAGTACGAGAGACACTATAGAATCGTCCATACTATCATACCTGCTCCAGTGCGGGAGACACCATAGAATCCTCAATACTATCATAACTGCTCCAGTACGGGAGACACCATATAATCTTCCATACTATCATACCTGGTCCAGTACGGGAAAGAACATAGAATCTTCCATACTATTATACCTGCTCCAGTACGGGAGACACTATAGAATCTTCCATACTATCATACCTGCTCCTGTACGAGAGACACCATAGAATCCTCCATACTATCATACCTGCTCCAGTACGGGAGACACCATAAAAGCTGGCCCAATGAGGAATTGTCGGTCAATATTCCAGGTATTCTCGTCTTCCGGAAACCTGTAATGTGTTAAAGTTGACATTAGCATACGTCATCGATGTTATTGGAAATGCATTATCATTATTGTCATCGTTATCGTCGACGACGTTGTCATGATTATCATCGATTGTTATCATAAAGTCCGCAAATGTAAACCTTTATCATAACTGTGCATGTTCTGTTTTCCTCTTGTTTTATTATGAAAGTCATTTGAAAATCGATTTTGTCATACGTACTCGAACATGAGTGGTCGGGCCACAGTTTTGCCGTTGATATGTGCTTCATGGAACAGTGTGTAGTAGTATGGTAGCAACTTGTAGCGTATTAACAGGATATGACGTGTGATCCCCACAAACGCTTCGTCCCACGAGGCAGGGTCTTGATCCTGTCATGAGTCGTTCATATGACAAAAACTACATCACAAAGTAACTTCAATGATCCATATCTATTTATGTTTCTTTGTTTGCTTAGCAATATAAAAATGTTTCACCTTCACAATGACGAGAAGGAACAAATGTAATACGTTATAATGTAAACCCCTTCCAACACAAAAACACATAATTTGTTGGTTATAGCTTACATATAGCGGCCAAACAACTCGGTAAATTCAAAGACGAGGAATTTGACTCAAGTATTGCAATCGTGCAGCCAGTCAACTTTGAATATTTAATGACTTCTTTGGAAACGACACAGAAACAAGGCACATAAACCATTACTCTTGTAAGTGACGTGAAGGTATGAATGAATAACAAATTATACATTTGTTTTACATTATCAAAGTATTATTATAAATATTTCAATCTCTAGCAAATTTCCCCAAAATCTTATGGATGATGTCTATAAGTGTAGTTATCGACAAACAGGCCATATGCTATATTGACAAAACACTGTAATAGCGGTACTCACTTAACTATTCAAATTAGTATGACATTTTTACTATCTGGTGTTGAAAATAATCGGGTTAGGGATGTGGACTATGTTATATTCAGACATGTGCAAGCCTATTTTGATATCCAGTGACAGATTTTTGAACTTAAAATAGTCGACAATGGTGGGCTAAAAAGATATGCATGTAACATCAAAACTGCTATTGCTATATAAAACAAGCAAATTCGTGGAATTTATATCCCCCGCTTGCAGGACATATTGTAGGTAAACATTATTGTGGTTAGGTTTAAACATGTGAGTATCGTGCTGTTGAGACATAATGTATAGCCTGAAACTCGAAGAAAAGACAAAAGTTTTTATTGAAGATGTAGTTTTTAAGGTGTAAATTAATCATTTAATCCATTTAACCTCATTAATTATCTGTAAATATGCACAAATCACATTAGTTGGCAAACTAAGCATGAGACGGAAGTGCATACGGAATTTGATTGAAATATCTGCACAATATCTACAGCAATTATCACACGAAAACCAAAGAGTGCCAGAGATGGGTGGGAAGACAGAGGCAACACAAACATTGTTATCAAGTTTGAAGTAATTTGGTAAATATTTGCTATACATGTAGTTATTAAGCGTAAACTGCAAATAATGATTAATAAAGGGCCATAACTCATCCAAATAGAGTCCACTAAAAGGGGTCATCAAACTTTGTCGAGCCCTTAATGCATTTAACACTGTTACCAAGTTTGAAGAACATCGGTTAACATTTGTTGCAGTTATTGCAAGGAAAGGGCAGATGATGACGTTTTTCGTTATTCAAGGGGCCATTACTCCGCCAAATAAAGTCCGCTGAAAGTGGTCATCAAACATGGCCGAGCCCTGAAGGCATTTAACCCTGTAACTAAGTTTGAAGAAAATCGAATAATATTTGCGAGAGTTAAAGAACAGAAACGGCAGATTATGACGTTTTTCGTTATTCAAAGGGCCATTACTCCGCTTAATAAAGTCCGCTGAAAGTGGTCATCAATCTTGGCCGAGCCCTTAATGCATTTAACACTGTTACCAAGTTTGAAAAAAAATCAGTTAACATTTGTTGCAGTTATTGCACGGAAACGGCAGATAATGACGTTTTTCGTTATTCAAGGGGCCACAACTCCAAGTTTTGGACAGCCAGCCAACCAGACAGACAGACAGACAGATGACAAACGCAAATCAATTTCCCTCTTTTCGGTAAAAGCGGGGAATAAAAAATAAAAAAAAAGATATACATTGTGAAATATTTCGAGCGTTATCTTCCCAAATGTAGTGTTAGACACCTCGATATGTTTAGAGCTTTGATATGATACGACACACACAGCTAAAAGAGGTATATCTAATATTTACAACACTTTATCAATGAACAAAAATAGCATTATCAATTATAAAGAAACTTACACGGAAGAAATGGCCGTCATCTCCTGTTCGAGCGTTGTGGTTTCGAGAGAACGGATAGAACGCCCCTACTTGCATCCAGCGAAGGCACAGCTCATAATTTGTTTCAAAGTAGAATCCACATATGTCAGCACCAATCTCAAAACAAATATAATGTGAGTGACTTCAAAACATATTTATTCGACCAAAAGCAATTCTTATTTTCATATCATCACCGTTATTGAAGTTTATATATAAAGAACAAATAATGATGAAATTTCTTAATATAAATTAATATTTAGCTTTGAAACATTTTAAGACCCTTAACAAGTCTGATATTATATTAATTATTCAAATGAATAGGATATGAAGGTTTAACAAGCAATGACATTTAATTATATGTTCATTTACTTATATTCACATACCATTGAGAATCCAAACATACTGAACTCCAGCATGCCTGTAATGTAACATACCACGTCGTCAGTCGAAGCCAAACAAGGTTTCCCAGCACTAATTATCAACATCAATATGCACTAAACAGATTATGCTGTGTTTGCATTGTTACATACTGAAGACAATTTTACTTGAACATCATGGGAGCAATTGTGTTGTAGCATTTAGTTTTCTATAATTTGAATTAGAAAAAAAAAATCTATTCAAGAATGAACCGTAAAATCTGTATAAGTTTTGTTCACGTCCAGAACGTCATAACGTACCAACAATAGACCAAGGCAGCTGTCTCCACTGACTCTGGTTGTCACCTAACCAATGAGCAGAATATTGAGATGTTCCAGGAAAAGATGACCTTGTTACTATAAAGGGACGTTTGCTCGGCATCACCTTCTTTAGGGCACTGCAAGAAGGTACTGTGTAATTATTGTGGTTAGAAAAATAGTAAGACAAAAACGGATTTAAATTGTATGACTTTTTTTCAATCGTTTTCAAATTTTGAGAACCTGATGCTTATCAAAGAGCTCAACACCTATACATATAATGAGGGATATTCATATTGTTTTCGTTATGTTTTTCTTATTATTCCTTTATCCACAAATCTTGTAGACATTTTATCTCAAGAGGAACGAAAACAGGTAAAACGTTCATATTTAAGTATGAATATAGGACACAATACCAAAACGAGATCAAGATTATCATTTCAAAGGTCAAGGTCAAAGATCTATGAATTGATCTATGTGGGAGCTAACTGTTCCCCATGACATGTTATCAGAGACTATCTCAAGTTCAAGGTCTCGCTACTGATAAAACATTCAGGTCAAAGATGCAAATCTCACAAAAAAGGTAACTTTACAGCACATATTTTTCAAAGCTTCAAGGTTACTTATAGCATCAAAAAAAGCAAAGATACGCCGCTATAAAATTTACAATTGAACTTAAAACCTTCCTCCTCTTTAACCAGGACATAGAAAGACTTGATATTTGGCACATCTGTAGCATAATTGCTTGGCTACAAAATATTTGCAAATCGTTGATCTTTACCATAATTCAAGGTCACAGGGGTCAAATGATCAAAAAATGAAAATTTCAAAACGTTTTTAACAATAGTTTATTTTACACCACATATAAAAGAGTACATCCTATTAGGATTAAGATATTTGTAAAGTTTCAAGGTCACAGCTTCATTGTGCATGCAAATAAATATGTTAATCCTACACATTATCGCTTTAAGGTCCAGTATTGATATTTTTTCTTATGTGTATTTTTGGAAAAGAAAGTAGAAAAAGCAAAAATAATTATATGTCCGTGTTTTTGTTTTTGTGCTATGATCGGTCAAAGATACGAATTTAAAATATGTAACTTTAGGCAATGTTTTGAATTTCCAATTTTTAATGCAGAATAAAATCATACAATATCTTCACAGTGTACTATCCAATATGTATGAATGTTTGAAGCATTTTTAAAAAATACTACTTTCTTTGAAATTGAGGAAGTAAATTCTCTGAAACTTAAAAAAGCGATTTAAATAACCAATAATCGTTATTTTTTAATTAAAATATACTTATTTTTATCACCATTTTTTCAGATTTAATGCTTGATATAAAAGGTTGTGCTTTATTTAAACTTTTTAAAATAAATATTTCATATACTAAAAGAAACGAATGTTTCATTTTCTGAAATAGCGACAAAAATCGGGAGTCCGTATGCTTATTTTTTTGTGTTTTTTTTTTCCCTCACCTTTGTTTGGAATCAAAAATCAAAAGTGTTTTATTGACACTAAATATACAACAAAATATCAATATTGTGTAATTTTCCACTTTGTTGCATATTATTGTATCATATTTACTATTATAAATACAGTTCTACATCAAAAATAGAAATACATATGAGAAATACATACACAGGATTGTAATTTTTGACACAGTGTTCAGATGCGATTTTTCTTTTAAAATTGATAATTAATTATGAAATATTTCATAATCCTTTAAACTTGAACGTGATTTAAACCTCAGAAAAGTGCATCCTTAAATGACAGATGATTGATGAAAGCACGAAAAATATGAATTGTACAAAGATGAATAACAGGCTAATCCTCCAAACTGATAAGACGTAACATTCAGCTTCGATGGGTCCAGGTACAACTCACTTACGTGATTGTTAACTCGTAAGTGAATATATTGATGAAGCTAACCAGGTTTTTTTCTGTCTGTGACCAAATTTTCTAGAATACACAGAGTGGTCCTGGGATTGGTGTTACTGGGTCCAAATTATAGAGCTGTCAATCACCACTACCTCCAGTTCACAACATTCCCTAAAAGGGGGGGGGGGGGGGGGGGGGGGGGAGGAAGCTAGAAAACCCTAAGAGCTTACCATCACTGTTTACTGATTATCATATTAACTGGAACCTGCGGTATGAATTAGGTGTAAGGTTGGTCAAAGAATGGAAGCGAAGGGAAACGTATAAAAGCGACTTTCAGTTCGGGAACATATCTAAGATAATTTCCTTGATGGAAATTCCCGTGTTTTGTTCTTGATCAAATCTTATTGAATTCATTTTAAAAAAGCTAAACATGTCTGTTGTTTATGGATGCCCGAAGTAAAAAGAGTAACTATAGATATGAGAGTGTATTATCAGCTTCAATAAACATTTTCTGAAGAGATTACAAGCCTTGCGGAACATTCAAATAAGGATAATGATAAATAATTTGTTCATGTTCATATAACCACATATTTACCAAAATAAAAGTCCACGATAACTATATTAGATATGAAATCATGACGTTTTATCATTAAACAAGAGGAAACACAGGAAAATCGTCAAGAAGAAAGGTTTGCATTAGGCAGGGAAACACTTGTGAGGTCACCTGTGACGTAACGGCGTACCTAAAATACTGACCTGATGTTTCTATACATTCATACACATAAGACAGAATTGATGTTGGTGAGTATTGGGGAATACAGCCTGTATGGAGATCAGAGTGCTGTGAGTAATGTATAAAAAGGAAATATGATATTTCTGAGTTTTGATTTTATAATCAAATTATCTTTTGTTTGTAATGTTTATTTTTACTATTACCGGCTCGATTATTAGTTACATACGTATCCACTGACTTGCCAAACTGTTCTTTGACTGTCCCTAAGAAACAGGGTTGTAAGCCATCTTAAAAATAAAATATGTTGACTTAAGTCACAGGGGATACCTATCGTATCATAGCACTTAAAATCATGTGCAGCATATAAGCTGCTGTTGTTTGATCTGTTCTTTATGATATATTTTGTCTGTCCAATTTCAGCGTCAGTTTTGTGCTGTGTAGACGATATCGCAAACTAACTATGCCACTTTCACATCAAAACAATAATATAGAAAAACGAATTAAGAAATTTACTTTTATTTAAGAAATTCTTCGTTTGAAATATTTAAACGCGTATCTTTACTTACGCATAGGTAGCCAAAGCGTGTGAGTGACCGTACAAGCTGTGGACTTTGTAGTGGTCACCCCAGTGTTGCTTTGCGTCCATACATACGGTCTTTCTGTACAGGTCCCCAGTATCTCCTTCTAAAATATCTGTGAAGTAAGACAGAAAGTTTAGACCACAGGGTCCACACACAGTGACACACGCCTGGCCCTGTGATCATGAAACAATCTCGACTCAAGATAAAATTTCTATTGTTGCCTAGTTTTTCAGTACTATTGTAGAAACCCATTATACTGTCACCGTCTGCATCACTACAAAATGATATGTATATATATATATATATATATGACGATAAATTGGCTTAGACACATCAAAAAAATAAATGGAATAATGTATTGAACCTTGAAAATGTTGGTACTAAGATCTAGAGTTGACATGAGATCGAGGTTCTATTATTAATAAAACTATATTTTACCTTTTACATGAATATCTTGTTTTATGTATTGTTTCGAAACATTTTAGGCATTTGTCCTACAGTTCTTATTAATTGCTTGGAATTAAGTCCAAGACTGTTTCATGCCCCAAGAAAGTCTAGACCAGGAGCGATTTAAAATACAGCGACACGGTACATAAGCACTTTATCAGGGCAGATACTCATTCTAGTAACCGACGAATATCTTATTATCATTTGTCAGAAACGTGATTAACGTAGGATTTAGGTTTCTTTATACATAACTAAAAATATGCTGTTACTTCCAAACGACTCTATCTTGAATTTACTTGAATTGCCTAATTCCTTTTTCTGCTACCCTAAAGTACATAAAGAAATTCTTTTGTATCACCAAAAGAAGGGAAGCGATGGGAAACGTATTACAGCGACCGTCAGTTCGAGGACATATCTAAGATAATTTCCTAGGTGGAAATCCCGTATTTTGTTCTTGATCAAATCTGTTGAATTTATTTTGAAAAAGCTAAACATGTCTGTTGTTTATGAATGCCCGAAGTAAAAAGAGTTACTATAGAAATGAGAGTGTATTATCAGCTTCAATAAACATTTTCTGAAAAGATTACAAGCCTTGCGGAACATTCAAATAAGGATAATAATAAATAATTTGTTCATGTTCATATAACCACATATTAGCCAACTTGTAATTACTCTTTCGTCACACCTACTGTTCATGATTCTATATACATTAACTATTTCACAATAAGGTTACACGGGGAAACAGGGGTAGGTAATCAATAAATGTAGATGTGTTAGAGACACCAACGTTTTCAATAAGTATTGCCTTGTTAGTAACAACTAATGCTTGCTTCCTTCACTGTTCTCTAATTAGTGAGGAACCCCTGCATCGGGCTATTCTTGTGATAATCTATTTATTCGTAAACCCGTACGTGGCATGAATGGTGGATTGTTCCATTTGTTTTTCCGGCATCCCATACTTGGTGGAAGATTCTCATCATCAAAGCTGAAACTAGCAGGTTCATTCATGTCCTGTTAAAATAAATACGAAAATAGCAGTCGTATGTATATCTAAAAGAAACCCTAACGCTTATTTAATAATAATAATAATAATAATAATAATAAAAAAGATATATAATATTTCGGATAAGTGTTTTTATAATTTTGAATTGACACTTACTGTAACATGTGATAGCTTTTAATACATACTGTCTTACTAAGAGATAAATGTCTGTTACTAAAGCGTTCCGAAATAAGAAAATAGAAAGATGTCTTTTATGAACGATGAAATGGATTAATGATAAAACGAAATCGTTCGCAATAATATATACATATACCATCTTGTAATAGTATTTGGTTAAAGAAAACCTCAGGTATAAAACGGAACGCTGAAGTACGCTGATGTTATAGTTTGATACGGCTTGAATACCGACTAGCAAGAAACTCAAAGTTTAAAAATTGAGTTAGCATGCATGAACGAAAGGATTTCAGGTTCTGATATAAGCAAAAGTAACATACAAGGTAAACATTAACATGCTCAAACGTAATTTTGTCGGCTAAAGGGATCTGGGGGTATGCAGCAAACTATCTACATCTGCTTCAGCTGCAGCAAAAGGCTCTTTCAAAATCTGCAACAAAACATTGTGCAAACTGTGTCCATACACACACTCCACAGATACATTTAAATGTGAAATGAATGACCAAGTTTATCACATATTACAAACATTGACATGCACATCAGTCAAATAAGTATACCTTCCCAGTGGGCACAACACGTCCAGACAACGATGCAGTCACGTCAGGACACAATGTTGCATTAAGATAACAGCAACATTGCAAATGAAAGTTTGCGGGACGTTTTCATGTAACATTCGCAAACGTTTGTGCGTTACGTTGTACAGACTTTCTTATTTACATTCTAATATATATGTAATTACAGGGGTTCGTTACAAACATTTAAATACATACACATATGCTATGCTGACATGTGTCATAGCACATCAGCAAAGCATAGATATTTAAGACATTTGTAACAAACCCTGTAATGCAATCGATTAAACAATAGGCCCAATGGGCCTGCATCGTTCACCTGGTATTAATCTCACACTTGTAACCTTAAAAGTGATCTAAAGTAAAGCCATAGGCAAAAAATCAGTTCTTATAACTATAAATCATTCAAAAGAACCTGTTAAAAGATGTTAAAATATTTAAACCCTGTGACCTTGAAAGTCAAACAAGGTCATTACAAAGAACACATTTTAGAGCCCTTCATCTCAGGATGCAACTTGCAAAATATCACTTTCCTTGACCATTCTTTATTGAGATTAGGTCATTTAAAGGTTTATACATATTTAAACAAATGTGACCTTGTGAGTTAGTCAAGATCATTCAAATGAACAAGCTTAATAGCCCTTCATTCAAGCATGCTACTGGCCAAATATGAACATCCTGGGCCTCATGGTTATTCGGAGAAGATGTTTGAAGATTTTAAACAAATCTGACCCCTGTAACCTTGAAAATGAATGAAGGTCACTTATTTGAACTTATCTTGTTATATATGGTAATTAATATATAGTTTATTAAATTAAAGTGAATAATTCCCGCATACAATTTACATGTTAATTCAATCGTCTCGCTGCGACCTTTGTGTTTTATACTGATCTTGCAAAATACAAAGTATTCGCATTTCTTTTTATTTGAAGTGATTTTATTACAACTACTGTAAAGTTGGTAAAGTAACCTTAGTACAATGTTGCTTCAACGTCATCATAAAACATTGTACAGACTTTGGAAAAAGACGTCCTCACAACATTGCTTTTAAGTCAGGGACACTGTGACCCCAGACTAAGACGTTTTCCGGACGTTCACCGGACGTAGTGTGCTAACTGGACTATTTCCTGCGAAAAAAATAATTTGCAGTATGTGGGCGAAACAAGCACAAAGCCCTATATCAGAATCAACAATCACCGCTGCTCCATTAACCAGAAACAAACCAGATTTCCCTGTTGCAAAGACATAGTTGGAAATACATGCACGTGGTTGCCATCGAGACGGCGCTGCTCCAGGGAAAGTACTTGACTACCACCCCTGAGGTATGAACGAGTGCTCGTTCTCCGTTTGTTTCACTTCCCGGTGGGTATTTGACAGGCTAGTTAACTAATATTGATCTGCCGACTCACACGCTAGCTGCTACTTTCCAGTGCATGAGACTGACAGATGCTGTCAGTTTTATAGTGGACGAAATGTCTGCATCTCTCTGTGTCATTTCGTCACTAACTTTTAATGCTTATTTTTCTCATTCTCACCAAAGTTTGATAAAAAAATCTATCGAAATAAAATATGTTAACCATAAATTCACCTATCAAACATATATGTTTGGGGAGTTTTTGGAAGTTTCTAGAATTATCATCTTGGGACGATTCGTCGTGCCTTTTTCCCAGCTGCAGCATCTTTACTATCTTTGTCGTTTTTCGAACACACACAGAATCATTTGTCAACGATGCGGTCATTGTAAACTCTTCCTTCGGCTTAGGCAAGTTGAGGGGCTAATTGTTTCAAATATTAGATATATCCTATTAAATTTCTTATATTGTTTTTATGTAATGTAGTTAAAGAAGCGGATTGCTCCTAAAATTTGACAACATCATATTGTCTACACTAAGAATTTTGTTAGAGTTACTTCCGTGCCCCATATCAAATTTTAAGTAATTCGTATCTTCAAAACTAATGTTTGCAAGGATCGAGTGTTATTTTGGAAGTTACCGTTAATATTACTTCTATGACCAATATATATATATATATAACAAAAGACATGATTTTCTTAGTACCTCCCTCGCTCTGTCAACTCTTTAGAGGTTCATTGGGGAAAGTGTTTATATTTATATTGACAAGACTATACAACATAGAAAGTGTTGACGTGATGGTGCATTATGACGTCACAATACAACCTACCCAAATTGACGTCAAAATTAGCAGCAACATTAGACAAGGAACAACAAAGATGGTTTTACAAACATAAATACGTGTGATATTGTTACATGTACAGACATTTCACATACATTTTCTTTATATATTTATGCAACGATCGGTGCTCTACGAGCAATTTAAACCGGGTTTCAATATATCGATTAACATTGACTCTTTTGACTCTATATAGGAATGTCATAGAACTTATCATTTGCACAAGAATGTTAATGATTTTATACATTAAAAAACAGGAGATGGTCACTGTTTGTCTGTTTTCTGTGACGTGTCATACGTTGACGCAATTCAAAACCAGTTTGCCCAATGTAAAATACAGAACTATTTTCATGGATCATCGCATAAGCAACATTCCGAGATCTACAGTTCATACTGGCTTGAAACTATTGAGTAAATTCAATATAAAGTCATTAAAACTCTGTCGGATATATACAGTAAAAACAAAACTCTCATGCCGTTTCAATACAGAGCAAACGTTTAATAAACGAGTGAACTACGGGAACAATTAACGGGCTGAAATATACTTTTAACGGTATAGAAGAATACTCACTATCCATAGCCCATCGAACGAGACGTTTTCTTTGTTACGGAAATAATCGATCCATCTGGCATACCAGGTTGAGGTGTTAGGATGTGTAAAATCTGGAAACACTGTTCGGCCTGGCCATACCTGATCACAGCAAAAAACGTTACCATATATGCATTATTTAGGAATACGGTGAAAAATAAAACTCAAAAACAGCATGAAAATATATGAAACATCTAACATAAAGCTGCCTTTTCTACAACACAATATTATTCCATATCATATGTAGCTCCCTGCTGCTGTGCTGGCTCCACTTTGAACCCTGACTGCGGACCAAATTGACTTGTCAGAATACAATTTTCTTAAATTTATAGAAAATACTATGTATTCTGATGAGGAAAAGATCATTCCTACGGATAATTCAAATAAAGCAAGTAGATGGTTTTACTGAATTATATTAAAAAGAAAACTTGACATGAATCAAATCAAACTAGTCAAAATCATCGACTTTTAAAAAGAAATTCTGTCAAACAAAACTAAACTTTACATGCTGATATAACATGCAGGGTTTTAGGGATTGTATGCACATGTCACTGTTGGTAAACACTAGTTTAGACAATCTAGATTCCCAACTGTATGGCTCCATGCAGAAGGCAACTGTATGTTGTAGTGTAATTGACTTTTGGTAAACTGTATTTATTACTGAATTTTAAAGGTGCAGACACCTGTGTGTGTTGTTCATCATTCAACAGTTTGCCAGTGTTGTTTCATTGTATTAATTGATCTTACCTCTCCTTCGAAATCTGTTTGGCCATCATACTTCTTGACGTATATATTTGCTTTCCTTCCGTCCTCGTACATGCTATAACCTGGACTGTTGACAGATGCATCAGCGACTATCTTAGGGTCATTTCCTATCCCAGGATCCTTAACGATATGTTAGTTTGAATCAATATGATAACCAATTAAACTTGCACCAAATAGAAAAAGAAGAACATACAAAACTTTGGCTTCACATAGTGTTCTCAACGCGTATGTCATAGAATTGGAAGACAGGCCCGTTTACTTGATAGAATTTAGGTCTAATCAATGGTGTTATGCATTAGGCCGAATTAAGTGGAATATCTTAAACATATTGTTTTTTACACAGAACATATTTGTTCTACGTACAACATATTGGTTCACGTAGATCATATTGTTTCACGTAGAACCTATTGGTTTATGTAGAACCTATTGGTTCACGTAGAACATATTTGCTTACGTAGAACCTATTGGTTTATGTAGAACCTATTGGTTCACGTACAACATATTGGTTCAGTACAACATATTGGTTCACGTAGAACATATTGGTTCACGTATAACATATTTGTTTACGTAGAACATATTGGTTCATGTAGAACATATTGGTTCACGTACAACATATTGGTTCAGTACAACATATTGGTTCATGTAGAACCTATTGGTTCACGTAGAACATATTTGTTTACGTAGAACATATTGATTTATGTAGAACCTATTGGTTCACGTACAACATATTGGTTCAGTACAACATATTGGTTCACGTAGAACATATTGTTATTACATAGAACCAATATTGGTTCTACGTACAATATTTTGTTATTACCTAGAAGATATTGGTTTTACGTACAGTACAATATATTGTTATGACACACAACCAAAATTGGATCTATGTACATATACACCATATTGTTATTACATAGAAGATCTTGGTTCTACGTACAGTACAACATATTGTTATGACACAGAACCAATATTGGTTCTACGTACAATATATTGTTATGACACAGAACCAATATTGGTTCTACGTACAACATATCGGTTCTACGTACAACTTATTGGTTCACGCCACCTCACTTGAATGCTACAGCACAGAAACCGCAACACCAACCCCCAGACCATTTAAAACTCCTCCTGGGTTGCGGGAGTTGTGTTGGCAGGAGAAAAAACTTTCTCTGAATATTCCATGCGTACGGCGACTTCGGGGATCGAACCCTGGCCGCCTGCTTGGAAGGCCGGAGTGTCAATCACTTGAGTTCACGTAGAACATATTGGTTCAGTACAACATATTGGTTCACGTAGAACATATTGGTTTAGGTATAACATATTGGTTCATGTAGAACATATTGGTTCATGTAGAACATATTGGTTCACGAATAACATATTGGTTTACGTAGAACAAATTGGTTCACGTATACCATATTGGTTCACGTAGAACATATTTTTATAACGTAGAACATATTTGTTCTACGTAGAACTTTTTGCCAGGACCATGAGTTGATCATTCCTACCAAGTTTCAGGTAAATCGGGCCAGTAGGACTTGACTTTAAGTTTGAAATAGTTTTTCGAAATGGCCGGCCCTGTCGGCCATAATGGATTTCTGATCGACCCGAAAAATATAAACACTTTGTCAGGACCACGAGTTGATCATTCCTACCAAGTTTCAGTTAAATCAGCCAAGTTGAACTTGACTTTAAGTTTGAAATAATTCTTCAAAATGGCGGCCTTGGAGGCCATATTGGATTTCTGATCGACCCGAAAACTAACAACACTTGGTCAGGGAGTTGTCAGTAACATTCCCATGAAGTATCAATGAAATCCCTTTGACAGTATTCCAGCTTAAGTTGAAAATGTAAAATGTTTACGGACGACGGACGATGGGCAACGGACGAAGACGAATAGCAATAGGTTACTTGAGCTAATTAAGGTCAGGTGACCTACAAAATGGAAAAAATGTAGATTTTTTTTATTTTTTTTGGCTATTCCTCCAAGAGTAGACATTTCCAGGCTATATCGTATAACCTAAAAAGCAAACAACACAAAATATGGTGACGTCATATACCGTAATACATGACGCGGTATTTGTAATTCTAAACTTCTTATTGGTTGGAGTTGCTTGGCGATGAATTACTGTGCAATGTTCTTTTCTGCAAAATTGTTTTGTTTTTATGAGAAATGAATAAATATTCACTAACTATGAACTACTAAGTGTGATGATGTTTTAAAATAAATAAAAGTGATAACCAGAATTATTGTTGATGGTGCTTCGCGGAATTATGCAAAGTGACAAAGGTTTTATGTATATTGTATATCGTATTACCCCAAAAGTCAGATCACATATTACAGAGTACGAAGAGCAATGGAGAACTCACCGCTATGATGACATACTTCTTCCCAATGCTATGGAGATAGTCTACAAACTCGGGAAGGCCTTTGAACGTTTGCTTGTCCACAGTAAATACAAATTTCTTGTACATGAAGTCGATGTCACCCCACTGTACATCCTAATACGAAACACAAAGGATAATTTAAATGATTAAGAGTTTTGAAATTTTCTGCTCTTTTTGTGTCACCCTTGCAGGCATTGAAATAAGTTTCAGACTAAATGTTTGGCCGTTAATAATTGGCCGTTAGTAAAGACAGACTAAACATTTGGCCGTTAGACAGGACAAACTTAATATTTCTATATTCTAAAAAGAAAAAAGTTTAAACCTGTGTACACTACTTACATCGGACCTTGTAAAATTTACCTGAGGAATGCCAGCCAGTATATTCCTATTGACGACGTTCTCGACCTCGCTGACATTTTGATAGCCCCACCTACATAAGTGGAAGCCTAATGACCAGTAAGGTGGCATCATTGGTCTACCAATAGCCTGCAAAGACATTTTTAGTGAAGGTTTAGTCAAGATTATAAAAAAAGGGTAAAAGGTAAACTGAATTATTACAGTTCGCACAATGACTTAACAAGCAGATAAGAAAACCAAGCTACATTCATCTATAAAGCTTAATATTTTACCGAACAAGTCACAAATTGAACGATTATTATTGAATGACTGTAGGATAGATAACGCCATGCATAACAGCAACATTTTTTGAAAAATATAATTCAACTATGATGATTTGCCGAGGGGCACAGAGGCGGATCCAGAGGGTCGGTGTGTTTCAGATGATATTACACCCAAGCTTAGATTTAAAAGGGTCAGTGAACCATGATAGAAATACTTGTACCTGTGAGATCAGTAGTCGGAAGTAGCCACAAATGTTACAGTTAAAAAAAGTTTCAATTGATTTATTTGAAAGAACAATACGCATAATATTTGAATGATATCAAAGTTGATTAAATCTTATTGAAGATGTCACATTTTAATGATATCAAAGTTCATTTATCTTATTGAAGATATCACATTTTAATGCTTCAAATCCTGAACCTTTGTGAGAAAGTTATATTAACGATAGCATATAAAAATACATGTAAATTAGTCTTTGATCCAATGATCGGAAGCAAGCTACTTTATAATAATTTTACGTCAAAATCACACATATAAAGCACTTGAGATTTCTCTATGAATATATGAACTACTCTACAAAAAAAGTGATCAGATCCTGCCCACTGACAGTACCACTTCATGTTGTTAGTTATTACTCTTTGATTGAATAATAAACATTTATATTCCGATGTTATTTCCCCCGCGCGATATCCTATTCAGCTCTCAGTATACTGGTCACGTGACTGGTGTCTCTTATTTAAATTGACTGTCGCAATTATTTATGAAAACTAACAATAAAAATTAATAATATATAAATGTGAAAGATTTGTGATTATAAATCCCCAATGTTCCCCAATTACACGAACTATGCAGTATGTATGTATGTATGTATGTATGTATGTTCTCCAATCATTCAAATATTAATTGATTTGATTGATTTGATTGATTGATTGATAGGTTTTACGTCCGCTTCACTACCGAGTAGTTCGGTTATCCAGCAGACGATTCAAATATTGTTCAATTAAAGGATTATATAGGCTACCTGTTGCCCGATCCGATTGATTATTTACTCAAAAAGTATTTGAAATGTAATGAATATTTGAAGATTCAAGTTGTATTCCGATATTATCATCTGTTAGACTAGGAGCATATTCATTTACTAGAAACCAAACAGGGATTATATTTTGTAAAGAAACAAAAAGAAATGAATCATCAAAATTATACAAATACATTGATGTTTGAAACCACACAGGAAATTGACTAAAAACAAGAATTCCACAGGAATGGATGTGTCGCTTGCGCAGCGCTTTTATTTACGTATTTTAGTGAGAAAAGTATTTTGGCTTGAACACCAGCAATCCCATAGAATAACAGTCAGTGTGAAGTTTTGAAGTTGATCGGCCAAAGGAAACTGGACTTATCGCACGGAAACAGTTTTGCTATTTATAGTAACGGCGACATTTGCTTTTGACCTTCGGACCTGGAAAACGATTACAAGCAAGCACTATTGGTAAGAAAGAACCATATGAAGTCTGAGTTCGATCAACCCAAAGAAACTCAAGTAATCGCACGGAAACATATTTTTCATTTATAGTAACAGTGGCCTTGATCATTGACCTGCGGACCTTAAAAGCAATCCCAAGCAAGCACTTTTAGTAAGGAAGCAATGTATGAAGTTTGAGTTCAATCGACTCAGGGGAATTCAAGTTATCGCACGGAAACCTTGTGTCAGACGACGCAACTGACGACGCCGGCAAAGTAATACCTATATGTTGCCTCGTGTTGCAGGCGACACAAAAACAAGAGCAAAACAAGAATTTACAAAAGACTTAGATAGAGACCCTTAAAAAAGTACAAGATCAAGATAGACCTTTCTAACTGTATTTTGTGCAACATAACATGGTTCAAACTACATACGTCACAAAAATATACTGGAAATCTGGTATGATGGCAACACCCTGAACAAATTCTGGATCTGCCGCTGGGACACTTTAATGATATTTTGAAATAAGTCCCGGGCCCGTATTCATGAAACCATTCTCATGTTCAAGATTGGAATTAGTACTCAAGCCTAATTATTGTTCTGTTTATAAATTAATAAAGAAATAACTTATTTATCAAGGATTTTGAAATATTTCGAAGCGACTTCAAGCCAAAAACTGTTTTCAATGTTTACATTTGACGTTTTGCTCGTTTGACAGAAATAAGTACTAGGAGCATATTTATTTTCTAGAAACCAAACAGGGATTATATTTTGTAAAGAAACAAAAAGAAATGAATTATCAAAATTATACAAATACATTGATGTTTGATACCACTCAGGAAATTGACTAAAAACAAGAATTCCACATGAATGGATGTGTCGCTTGCGCAGCGCTTTTAGTGAGAAAGTATTTTGGCTTGAACATCAGCAATCCCATAAAATAACAGTCAATGTGAAGTTTTGAAGTTGATCGGCCAAAGGAAACTGGACTTCTCGCAAGGAAACAATTTTTCTATTTATAGTAACGGCGACATTTGCCTTTGACCTTCGGACCTGGAAAACGATTACAAGCAAGCACTATTGGTAAGAGAGAACCGTATGAAGTCTGAGTTCGATCAACCCAAAGAAACTCAAGTAATCGCACGGAAACATATTTTCTATTTATAGTTATGGTGTCCTTGACCTTTTAGCTTCTGACCTGAAAATCAATCCCAAGTAAGCACTATAGGTAAAAGCACTGTAGAAACTCAAGTTATCGCACGGAAACAGATTTTTTATTTATAGTAACAGTGACCTTGATCATTGACCTGCGGACCTTAAAAGCAATCCCAAGCAAGCACTTCTAGTAAGGAAGCATTGTATGAAGTTTAAGTTCAATCGACTCAAGGAAACGTAAGTTATCGCACGGAAACCTTGTTTCAGAAAACGCAACTGACGACGCCGGCAAAGTAATACCTATATGTCGTCTCGTGGTGCAGGCGACACAAAAACAAGAGCAAAACAAGAATTTTTAAAAGACTTAGATAGATACCCGAAAAAAATCAAGATAGATCTTTCTAACTGTATTTTGTGCAAGATAACATGGTTCAAACTACATACGTCACAAAAATATACCTGAAATCTGGAATGATGGCAACACCCTGAACAAATTCTGGATCTGCCGCTGGGACACTTTGATGATATTTTGAAATAAGTCCTGGGCCCGTATTTATGAAACCATTCTCATGTTCGAGATTGGAATTAGTACTCAAGCCTAATTTATTGTTCTGGTTATAGATTAATACAAAAATAACTTATTTATCAAGGATTTTGAAATATTTCGAAGCGACTTAAAGCCAAAAACTGTTTTCAATGTTTTCATTTGACGTTTTGATCGTTTGACAGAATTTAAATGAGTTACAAGAAAGTTGGTTTTAGCACAGTTTCATGAACAACGGACCAGATAGTTTGAAAAAATAAATCGTCCAAAATGGTGTAAGCCTAGTCGGTTTGACCTGTTTGAAGTATCAAATGTTTGTATGTTTTCAGACTGGAAATTTGATAGCATCCTGAGCTCCCCCAAACGTTAATATATCAATTAATTTTCACAAAGGCTTATTTACTAATATATTATTGATGGATTGGGTTAGGATCAACAACAATAATCACAAGGTACAATGTAGTAACATTTATACAATGAAGCTATATTTCTATCATCAATATAATTACCATTACCTTTTTTATGAAGCACTTATTACTTTTAACACCTTACCTCTGTGTACTGCTGGACGGCCTGTTGAGGTGACGGACCCAGGAACAAGTAGAAGTCGAGACTCCCACCAAGAACCTTGTAAGTGATAGCAGGGAATGGGTCCGGCTGAAGCACCACATCTGGCGTATACAAATAAATGAATGAGTGCAACTGAGATGTTAATGCTGTCAATTCAGTAATACTGGCATAAAATATGCGATATACAGATAATAAATGTACCAGTAAAGGAAAAACAGTTTATCTTACCCTGGACAGGGATATCCACCATTTTACCGGTGTGTGATTAATAGATTCTTTCACCCCCTTGGGGGTGAGACAGGGTAATCTTACCCCGAAGGTTGAGATCACCCTGTCTCACTCCCAAGGGGGGGTGATGATTATTTTTCTCTTATCCTGTTTATCCTTGTATTTTACATAGACGTTACATCGATGCAAGACAATGTTGATGTGATGCGGCTGAATTGTCGACGTGACGTCATTGTATTGTCGCCGTGACGTCATGGTATTGTTGCTATGACGTCATACAATTGTTGAGAACGTGCAAAGAACACGTGTAGCTTGTCTCAACCCTAGGGTGAGATAAAAAAAATCTCACACCGGTAAAATGGTGGATATCCCTGTAAAGGGTAAGAGATTTTTTTTATCTCACCCTAGGACACCCAATCAACATGTCTTCCACATGTGTACGAAACAAAAAAACATCGAACGACAAATATATACCGTATAAAATTCTCGCCGCAGATTGTCGAGTACTGGTGACATGAATATACCCTGACCAAAACTCGTTACAGTGTGAACGGGCCTTAAAGTAAGTAAATCAGTGAAAATGTTAGACTACATCACACCATGAACATGAAGGAAATATGTAGGTGAAGAATTGCACAGTAAAACCAGAACACCACATATGTTCTATATGATGATCTCAGAACTACATTAAGCTGCATTGACATACCCATTCCGTGACTGTTTTTAAGGAAAACCATTGTAGCTTTACTGTCCTCTTCTAGATTCATGTAAACTGGATGAGCACCATACATGTTTATTCCCTCATCCTGAATGAAATGGAATTATATTTTAAAAATATATTTGACTTCATTATCAGTAGGTATAGTTATACCAAAAGCAGATGAATTAATTACCAATATTACACAATATCAATATACATGTACTTCTGAGCTTGCAATGTCTGTAATGCTTTCTTTGATACTTACTTTGGATGGGTGTTTTCAAATGTGTCGGGG